TGAACGCCGGCTTAACTTTTGGCGGAACGAACAATTATTAAGACGCCTCCTTCGGCGTTTGGACAACCAGCAATTCTGTCGGCCTACAGCCTTTTGTTTCGCTAAATCAAAATTAATTGCTCACGTCTAGCTCCTTTCTCCGTGGCAAAGATCTTTTGCTGCCCGTGGATGCCGATCGAGAGGAGGACGGGACGATTTTGATAGCGTATCATTAAAACCTCATTTGCCAGATAAATGGACGTGCGTGCGTCAGTTTAGGGCCGATGCGAGAGCATAAGGCGATCGGCGGCACCAGCCTTTTACATAGTCGAGGCCGAAAAGTTTATTTCGAAAATTGTTGCGCGTCCGCTCTTTGATTCTCTCGGCCCGATGGTGCCGAGTATCTCCCATCTCACTGGCTACCCACATCTCCGTGTGTGTGAATTGCACAATCGAATAAGTTGACAGATTTTTCACTACGTGAATTTGCAGTCAAGTATAAAATATAACCTGTATATCTTCTGCTTCGATCGTTTCCATTATATGTCAGTCGCCTTATACGAGTAGCTCCTTACGATGAAAAAACAAAATCAATAAATACATTTTTTGTGAACATCTTGCTGGAGAAAAGAAGAGCACTTCATTGAAAAATGCCTACAAGCTGGTGAACAATTTTTAGGCCTCCTACCTGCTGTCTGGCATATATATTATTGTGTCTATATCGTAAATACCAAGGAAACCTTTTAAAACAACAGGGAACCTATCACCTAGACCTGCAAGGGCCCAATGAGTACGAAATTTTGCTATTGACGTTTTTTTTTCTCTTTTTTCACGCAAACACGTACTTTCCATATTTTTATACGACACGTACGTATATCCATAAAAATATCCATAGTATTTCAGTATCCTGTTTTTTATTTCCAATTTTAATGTCATATACATTTTCTCTTGAATGTTTACTTTCGCTAGTAAAAAAGTTATAGGCGCGTAATATAAATTTTATGCCAACCGAAAAGATGATTTTTATTTTTAATAAACTGACAAACTCATAAACTGTACACCTACTCGCTTAACGAGCTGGACATTAAAGGATATTTTTATTTTTCTCTGAATCATAAGTAATGCAACCGTTTGAATCACCTTTGGAATTAATATACATTCACCTATAACTTGATGCCTTAACTTTTTACAACGAAATAAAAAGCCCTACATGCTTGTTTATGCATGCGTCCAGCAAAGAGGGACATAAAAGGAGCGCAGAGTATATATATATATATATATATGATAATGGTCAAGTTGATGGTACCTACACGCCTGAATCGCGTTACCCGAGCAGCATCTCGGTATCAAGTGTTGCGTTACAAGTATTGATGCGCTATACGAATATCTATACGCTATTTGCATTGATTGTTTTGATAAACGAGTACAATTTTTGATACTTTGTTATTATTATAGTAAAAAATGATCAAGTACGTTATAATGCACGAATCCTGGATAATGTAAGATTAAGTACAAATTTTACGGGAAACATCAAACACGCAGTGCACGTGAATGATAGTCGTCTCTGATGCACTTTTTTCTGTAAAAAAGGGGCGGTTCCTTTGTACACTTTTATAGGTACACCTGTACGCGAAAATGCCGTTATTGACAATGAAAAGGAAGAGAAGAAAAAGAAAAAAATACGAAAAAAAGAAGGTGAAAATGACCGGATGAGATGATCCTGTACGGGGCACCAATAAAAGCAGGAAGGAGAGTATAAAAAGCACACCAGCCAGACTCACGTGAAAGATGACGTAGCTGCGCTTTTTTTTCCACCAAAGTGAGCTCACGCGCGAGATAAGTTAGTGTATGTATTGTCGGGGGCTCCTCGTCACCGGGACCGAAGATCCGGTCGACGTCTAATCCTGTTTTGGAATCTCCGACTCACATGTCCGTGGCGAACTCGATACCTGCTCCCAAATGTTTTATGGTCACTGGAGGAAGCATCCATAGGCTATGTTGTACTCGAATCAATACACGTGTACAATGTGGATTTTTTTTTTTAATATCTAATATTGCACTGAAAAAAAAGTTGCAACTGATTCGAGGAGAACTTTGAACAACGAGATGCAAGGATTATTTATCAAACTGCTCACAAAGTATGATTTTTTAATTTTTTTTTGAAAAAGTAACGTATACCCAGTTGTGTTTTTTATTCCGTCTAATCTCCCCTACCTATACTCGGCACGACAAGCGGACCCATGTAATAACAGTGAAATCCATGCACAAGCCATTACCAGAAAATTCTCTGGCCCAACCCACTCGCCTTTTGTCCATAGGTAAACGCGATGCACCGTATAGATGTACTTACGTAAGTATACACGTATTATGTAGATGACGGAAAGACGAGATGCGGCAACGGTAGCAGCCTCAAGATTATCATCGGACAAAGATTTTCGTAAGCCCGCGCGGTCGAGAGCCAGCGGTTGGATTTTTTATACCGGGTCCCCTTGAGCGCTCCCTTTGATGCCGGGCTCCACAAATCGAATCCCCCCGTGTTTTATCACGTAGGCGGCTCACCCGCCTCGCGTCGGAGCACCACACCTGATTATAAATGATGCCGGTATCGTCGGAAAGGAAACGGCCAGAGAGGGAAGGGGAGCAAGAACTCTAATCGCTTCCGTGTCCCTCGCGCGTACCTATACGTATTACAATATCTCCTTTCGTTTCTCCTCTTTTCACTTGCCATAAACCTTTTCGGGCCTTTTATACGTGTGATATACATGGAGACTGAAATGCTAATAGCATCACCGACCCCGTTGATCCACACCTATTTTCAAATGCGCCTCCAATAAAACGTGACGAATAATAAGAAATTTCTCCTCGTTTACTCTCCAACCGAGGAACAACCTTTTAACATGTATATTTTGTACGCGTGCAAAATGTTATCAATTATTGATAAAACACACAAGTAAATTTCATAACGGATGACCGATCCTTGCGTTTATCCAATGATTTGTTGTCTGGAAAAACATTATCGGCTCATTTAACGTGTACCTCAACTGACTGGAGTACAGTTGCAACCAGCTGCCGTGGATATATGTATATAGTGAGTACCAATAATTATGGCACTGCCGATTGAAAATTATTCAAGCGTCTCGACACTCCGGGGGTGAGCTAGCTACGTTTTCATTTGGTTTTTTGTTTGTAGCTTAGCACTGAAAAAATGGAGCTGGAAAAGAGAGGAAGGGTGTACCACCTGAGTTTTAACAAGGAATCCGTGTATACTCGTATCCTATAATGGTAAGTACCATATATATAGGAGTGGACTTTGACAGTCTTCCAGTTGCCCTATCGAGACTAATCGATCCGCGATGTCTTTGAGTGGTCACCCATCCAAGTACCTAGTACCTTATACGCGGCCACAGCCGGTCCATGGCTGTACACAATCATCATGATAATATATAATCAACAAAGTATTGTTGTATCACCACTGCACTGTACTTATGAATAGGTACTGCGCGTACTTGTGAGGGTCCACCGACACAAACAAGAGTATAAGACCCATCGGGAGAGTTTATAGGTGTACAGGTATACACCTATATATTATACAGAGATAGATCTCAATCCTCCAGGTTTTTTAATCAGTCAACAATCTTCGTCCCTCCTCCTTTCTCCCACACGACTCGGCGTTGGGTGCGACGATATACCTTTGATGCGCGCACGCACGCTTTACTGGGGGATCCTTATTCGGGCATCCCAGTGAATTCTCATCTTCGGTGTGATCCTTTTAGACCACGCTCGGCTACCCTCCAACAATCACAGCGTATACCCCCCCCCCCGCCCTCTCGGCGCATTGTGCCCTTTAAACGCAATGTGTTTTGTATGGGCGCACGCTTTGGGCCTTCCCCATTGCATCACTATTATTTTTCGACAGAGGAGCCTCGAAGGTGTACCCATACACGGGTAGTGCAACGCACGATCCTCGCCCATTGTACGACCGAGAGGACGGGGGGGAAGAAAAAAAAAAAAAAAAACGAGGCCGCCAAGGCTTTTGCATCACACTCCTCAACTTACCCCACAGATACACCACGCTACTGTACAATACACACACGCGTGCGTATACATTATGTTTATGTATCGAGCGAGCTTTCATGCAGCAACACCCGTATGAGTATACACTAAGAACTTTGTCAAACATTCATTATGTTTTCGATAGGTGTATAGGTATACTTGTATATGTATCTGTTATGTAATACCCACATGGAGTAACGCTCGCGGGTCCTTATACATAATATGATACTTGCACTCGGTTGTTTATCTTTGCTCGAGGAGGCGATGGGGGGGGGGATGTATTTATCTATGTGTGTACGTTGCCGGCTAAAAGGCGGGGGTACGGCTATTACGCTGTACGCGATCCTTTGGGTTGACGAGCACCGAGGATTTGTCGGCGCTACCGCATGGGCTTCTCTGTTTTTCTTCGTTTTTCCCTGCTTTCTTTTCAGGATTGATCGGCGGGACGAAAAAGGGAAAACAAAAACAAACAAGAAGAAAAGGACAAAAAGGGTTGTTGGGGGTAAAGGGTGCACGGGTTTTCTCAATGGGCCATTGTGTTGTTTCCCATAGGTGGCTTTGAAAGGTTATTTGTACACCATGCGATGGATCGATCGATTGCGCGATAAAAACAAACAAACCATCGGGGGGAGGGGGAAAAAAAGTTGCGAGTGCCGTTCTTTGTGGTTCAATGACAGGGTTGATACGCGCTACATCAATTATATATAGCTAAGCATAATAAGTGTATATGTATATCGTACACCTAGAGATTTTTATCAGTGACAAGTGAATTTAATGCCACGCGCACTAGTGACTGCTCGCATCGTTGGGAAGTCATACTTGAGACGAGGAGCTCCTCTCTCGCAGCCCCCCCCCCATTTTCCGCCCGATTAAAGGCATTCGGGCGGTATATACTATAGCCGACAAAGCTCACCTGCATCGCTCTCTTTTTCCGTTGGCTCGATCGCTCGTTGCTTCGACACTCTTCTTTAGAATTGCACCTCGTCCGCGAAGGTGGTCAGAAAAGCGTGCCTCGCCTCTCTCGAGGGCAACACGGGACCCATGCACTCGAGGAACAGCAGGTTCTTCTTCATCACCGTTTCGCTGAACTCCGAGGGCGATATGTCGCCGTCCCTGTCGATGTCGACTGCCTTCACCAGCAGCTCTATCATGTCCTGCCGGCCAAAAACTTAAAATCACTTACTGGTGTATATATATATATACATATATATCCATGGTTGACTTCGGTACGATACCGCACCTTTTCCACGTCGTCCGGGTCTTCCTCGGGCTGTAACTTTATGAGGCAGCCGCGCATCATGGGGAATATTTGCTCCTTCGACAGCTTGTTCGATTTCATCAAGTCGTAAACCTGCGGCCCGAATCGATAAAATACAATAAAATACAATACTTAATCAGGATGCATAACCTATAGCTTCAACGATGATGTTACTTTGTACGCGAACTTGGCTTTCTGCGCTGTTGGGTCTCGGAGGACGGTCGACCAGCCCGACACCCAGTCGTCGGTGGGGATCTACACATTTGTTTCATTTAGTTGGAATCGTCGAGGGAGGGATGGTTTGCGCTTCGTATAATATGTACTTACACGTAGGAGGGTATTTCGCTGGTCGAATTGAGAAAATATCCGGTCGATGAGCAAGTGGCGTTTGTTCTCGGTGAAATCGAGACCGCCGTGGAAGATGTCCCGGAATACCGATCGGTTGAGGGGACCCCTCACTTTCTCGATTTTACGGTGTATCAACGAAAGAGCTGAAAATCATCGGTCAAGGGAATTCGTTCTGCCGGTCTTTGTCGATGTTGTGGTTATTCGTGCGCGTAAAAATAATTAATTACATGTATGCTTGTTGCAAGTGCACATACTATATATATATATATATATATATATTACCTTTTACTTCTCTCTCATTGAAACAAGTTTGTTTGGCTATATTTTTGAACAAATTGCTATTTTTACTCCTATAAACTACCTCCTCCGTTGAGTCGTTCAACAAATCCATCGGTACTTCTCGAGGCATCTTGATGGCCCGTTTTTTCTATTACTCGATGATTTAAATCTTTGAAAAAGCCTTACTCGTTTTTACGTCACTACAATTTTTATTACGTATTTTCCGAAAACTGAAATCATCAGCAAAACTACGAGCTCTTTTTTGTTTTTTTTTTTTTTTTGTTTTTTCATAACAATAGTTACATACTCATTGCACATGTGTATACGTATAAATATACAAGTAATACATTCTGTGATTTTCAGTCAGTCAGTGCAGAGAATTACAATAGAGCATCGAGTACCCAAAGTACGTATTGAGAAATGGGACAAGTATTGCAGGGTGCAACATGTAAAAAAAGAGACACAGCTTATCAGAAAAAATTGTCCAAGACTTGCAACGATTGGTAAGTAAAGAAAAATACACACATGAGCAAAAAAATGAGTTTTGAAATTTTTAAAGAAAAAAAAAATAAATAAATAAATAAAAAAAAACCAGATTGGTACAGAGAAGCACGTATTTTTGTGGTCCGTAAAGAGTCTCTCTCCCCGTAATCCATCCGTTCTTCCTCGAAAGTCCAGCACTAGACTGTAATTTTTGGCAATGCAGCGAATGGTAGCAGGCAATGATATCCGAGGCTCTTGGCGCGCGAGAGAGAAAACTTGTAGCTCCCGGTAAACAGAGGGAAGTACATTCATGGTTGGTGAAGCGATGGGAGACTCGAGATCTCAAACATTAAATTGAATTTCGCAGGGCTTCGGAGGGCAACGCCCAATGTTACGTCCGCCCGCTTGCGGGAGCTCGAGTGATACACGCGGATAGATGCCACGTAGAAAGGGCCCACTGATTAAATTCAAGGGGCAAACTCGAGGATTGGTTATTGATTGAGGATTCTATTGCTAAAGATTTCGAAGCAAGTTAAGAACATATAGATTGTGCACTGGTATACGTTACAGAAAAAAAATGAAAGCGAAATTCTCACCTTTGGGACGAAAGTATTCAACTTCCACGCCACCACAGAAATACCAGAGAAAAATCTTAAATATATTGGTGCAGCTTGAATTGTAAGATTTAAAGAGATTTCAAAAAGAAAAATCATGACGTGTACAATCAAGATTCATATTTTTTCGTACTGTTGGTGGCATTTGAAAAACAAAAACCACCACGTCTCAAAAGGATTATTCGAAAATGATGTTTTTCTGACTCTCGAGGGTAGGCTAGTCACTCAAACATATACACACCGTATAATCGTATAATCGATAAAATTTTTGCTCAACTCCGATCATCAATTTTTCCCCTCAACGCAAAGTTGTCAACAATCAACGCTCCTCGAATCCCCTCAAACGGAGCAAAAAGACCAAACAAGCAAAGGCACGTTGCCTATGTGGCGGCGCATCGTGTTATTTACGAGGTGCAGAGGCAGCCGGGAGCGCGCAATAAGAGGTATACGTCACCGCGTGCCGAGCGCAGCCTGTGTGTACGGGGGGGCGCTCATTACGTACAGGCTGGCGAGGCCCACCTCTCCTTCGAACAAGCGGTATAATCGAATTTCAAAAGTTATTGCCGCGCGTGGGTTCATTGGGGCGAAGCCTCATCCGAGCCCGGTCGTAAAGAAGGCTTCGCCACCCTTCCTCCTTTGGCTCCTCCGAGGGAAGAAAACACACGGTATTAATCATGCGTAAAGCGCGATGTACACGAGCGCTTTGTAAGCGAGGTATATCTTTGCCCAACGAGTCGAGGCCGTGTCAATGAAGCTTGGGTAAACCGCTTCTATTTACAAGACTTGTCGGGTTATTTTTGTATCACGCGTGTGTACGATTTCTTTTTTTTTTTTTTTCTTTTTAGTTGAAAAAAGACAAAAAAAAGGTAAATCATTACTTTTTACCCACGATTATACATCGGTACGTATATTTGCAATTTGGGCCCTTACAGATTTTAGGCGTAGGAGTGTGCAGCGTCTAACACGAGTGTGGTGATGGCAAGATAATGGGAGAAAAAGAAAAAATCCTCGCAGAGTATAGGATGGCGGTAGTATTTATTTTTCTCTTTCAACGAGACGTTGATCAATCGTCGTGCTTTGCATGACTCTCTACACTCAGTGTAACCACCCGAAATGCTTTTGAAGGTTTGTTCCGTGTGAGCTTGATACGCGATACTTTTTTTAATGTCAAAAGGAGCTCTCCCCCTTTCCCTGGATTAGCGATGACTGTAAATGATTAATCAACCGTGGGTCGTCTTTGAGGGCTCGTACGGTCGCAGGTGAGCACTAACACGTGATGGCTAGCCAAGGCTCAACTACGTACACCATTCAGCTGGAGATGGTATTCAAGCCGTTGTTTATCACCTAAAAAGTGTTTTTTTTTTTCTTTTTTTCCAAAGCTATTTGTCATTTGAAATCTAAATATTGTTTTGACGCTTCCTCACTTCACTCAGCGTCTAAACTATTTTTCATTATTTTTCGGCCACTGGACATAAAACCGCTCCAAATGTACATGATAATATGTATTAAATTCATTTGTTTTTTATATAAGCTTAAATATGTATTTGACAAAATAAACATGACTAAGCGGTTATTTACATTAACATTCAATTCCTTAAAAATTCATAACTAAAATTATAGCTGTCATTTTTTTTCAGTCTTATCATCCTGCGTAAATTTTAATAATTTTAAGGTTCATAAATAGCGTACCGTACGATAACATTATATCGTAAAATAGTGATAAGTTTTACATAAATGTGAAATAAATTGACTCTCAAACTTTCAAATCATGTAACCGCAAATTTTTGAAAACCAATTACTTAAAAATTAATGTGTAACGTGGGCCTTCGTTTAAGGTCATAGAGCTCTTGTTAACATAAAATCCAATCATGTTCCCAAACATACTTTACTTTCTATCGTAAAACTAGGTACTGAGAAAAAAAAAAAAAAAAAAAAAAATCACAAACTCTTCCTTTAATTCAAAAACATGTAGATGCACTAGGCAATTTTACGGAATATTTTGTGGGGAAAGTAATATTGATTGTGAGTCAGCGACGATAACCATAATTCAACCCATAATTTTTTTGAATCCCTTTTATTTTCGTGACGATCGCGTGTATGAATGTACCTATTTATTCTCAGTTTACATATAAGTATGAGCACTCGAATATTTTTGCACATTAGTTAAAGGCGATGCTGCGGTCCGAGCAGAAAGCCCAGTGTTGTTTATTCCCACCGGACGCGCCGAGCTATCTCATCACGGGTAATTACAAGGGAGTGGGCCGGTGCTCCATTCGCATCTGTGTATAATATAAATACTCGCCGGTTACACTAACGTATAAGAGCCCAAATTAAAGATGCGTATCGAGCAACATTTGCTTAGCACAACACTTATTTGAGCCGAACAGGCAAGTGCTGCTGCGCCCCGGTAATTAATCGATTGCGCGATACAGGGGTGGGGAGGGGTATAGATCGGGCCGGTAACCATCAGGACTTTTTCGCACCTGGTGGGGTGTTATAAATGCCTCGATTACGCCTAGCGCGCGCTCGTGTACCTACCCCCTTCGAGTGAAAACTTGTCAGCGATCGTGTTACCGATTGTATCGTAGCTCTCCTCTTCCCCTCCTTCTTTTATACACACGGACTGACTACTCCCTTTCTTATTTCCCGTGACTCTTTTTGCCCTTTTTACAGCTTCGCTGCGGAGAACCGTCCCATGTCATGAGCACGTGGGATTCACGCGAGCCGGGTTATCGCGGATTGTGTTTCTACCCCCCCCCCCTCCCCCAACCCGTTCCACCCTCTCCCCAATAACCTGTCATAAATATTTAATTTTGGCACGAAATTGCCAATTATAAGCGCATATACATTGAAATTTTCATGTTACTCGTTTTTTCGGCAATATTACATGGTACAGGGATTAGTAGTTTTTACCGTGCCTTTTTTTTTTAATAATCACCACGATATTTACCAGTACAATTGTAACCATACATGACCTTAGAACAAAAAGAATCGTCGTTATAATTATTTGTTATTACTATTATTATTTTTATTAGTGGTGGTAACGATACACTGGCTCGACTGATGAATCGTTAGATTATTTACCAAACAACATTGTGTGTCTGTACCTACGGACTTACTATGTGAAATCTTGCAGATAACGATTAAAAAGCGATCGTGAAATTGAAGCCAAATTAAGTTAAGAGTTCGGGCCTTCAAATGTATAGGAGCACCAATTGTTAATAGCAAATCGCGACTTGTGACCCAGTATCGCACGTACGAGCGTTATTCAATTTTTTTTTACTTGCACACATTTACGAATCCATGGATAGGTACTCGAGTATCGGTAATTCAAGATCGATAATACCAAGCGATCCGTCGGAGCTATCCAATTTCTTGCCTGCACGTATATGTGCATGCAAAGTGGGGCTTAAAATATTGCTATTCATAGCGATCCCTTTTTCTCCGTGGATAATAATGTGAAATCTTTATTCCTGTTTTTTTTTTAATTTTTTTATTCGAGCGCGCGCGCGAGAAACCCGATACAGCTGACACAACCCCTCCTTTCGTTCACTCTACTCTCTATGCACCTCCTCTACACAGTCATAAGGATATACATGGGAGTGGGTATATTCGATCGCGTACGCGCGTACGATATTGCATTTCACGAATCGGTAAATATTTTTGAGAATAAATAAAATAATAATAATAATAATGACAATAATGAAAAAAAAAGGAATAAACGAGTGGAGGGTGGTTCGAGTGAAGAGAAAGGGGGATTAAAGGGATTGGGTTCCACGTTGTCATGCCACGCGTGACCGTCGCAATGTACGTAGGTGCGAGCGAGGATGCGCGCAGTAATTTTCGTGGCCAAGTATCAAGTAAAAATGCTTTTCCATTATTTTGCGTTTCATAAACACGGATGGAGAAACAAAAGGGAGAGAGAGAGAGAGAGATAACGAGTAGGGGCACAATCGAGAAAAAGTTGGTGCCTACAATGTTCTCCCTGAGCAATGCACGGCTCCAAGGGCCACGCGTATAAATCTTGTCTTGA